CCGTGAACCCGAAGGCCCTTGTCGCCCGTCCAGCTCGTCTCCTGCCCCCCTCGCCCAGCTTCCTGCAGCCCAGCCCCAGCCTTCACACCTGTTACTCCCTCTGCTGAGAATGCTTCCCCCCCGTTGTCACACGGCTCTTTTCTCATCGCGGAGGCTCAACTCAGAGGCCACCTCCTCCGAGAGGCCTTCCCTGACCACCTGCCCTCACTCTCTTTCCATCGCATGACCCTCTTTTGTCTTTTGTACGGCGCACTGTGTCTCCAGGGGCCAGGACAGTACCTGGCGGGGTCGACGCTCCGTATCGACTCATTGCATACACGAATGAAGACGCTTTCTGGGTCTGCGTCTTCATGTATGAAATGGAAATGATGGGGCCTGGGCTCCCGCGGGGAGTGGTGACCCAGAAGGATGGCGTGCCTCACCGGGCACAGGGCCAGCCTCAGAGATGCTCGGGGACGGAGGAGGGAAGTGTTAAGCAAGTTAAGAAGAGAAGCGTTGTTAAGGGAAGTGTCTCCGAAAAGTCATGCCGAGAAGATAATTGGCAGTGAAACTGAGCTTGCTGATGCTGTGGCCCTCAAAAAATGCAGATTGCTTCTATATCTATGCTCGGTTGACTTATTTCAAAGGATGAAGACACACCTCAGAGTATCGCATAAGATTCTCTTCAGAAGGGAACTCAGGCTGCTGGCAGCCGTGCCGAGGAGCAGTCAGGCTCCTCCTTAGCAGCTCCTCCGGGTCACAGCCTTTCATTTTTCACCATTGTTGAAGCCGCAGTTTTTCACTTAACCCTTCCTGGCCTCTGCTGCCTCATCTGTGAAATGGGCCTCCTGTTAGCTCCTAACAGGGATGCTGTGAGGGTGAATCAGAAGGAACAGGTGGATCTGTTGTCTGAACTGCAGAGCACATACACGTGCATGCACACGTGCACAAACGCAGATACACACCTGCACACACACGTGTGCACACACACATGTGCACACACACGGGATGTAATTATTGTGGAGCTGGGTGACCCGTATGCCCTTTAATTTTGAAATAGCTAACTGGAACGTGATCTCATTTGGAAATCTGGTAAATGTTAGAGTGAGGGGCTATGTGTTGGGGGATTGGCTAATAGAGACTCAGAGTCATCCCTTGGTAGCGAGTGGGGGATTTTTCTGGGATCCTGGCTGGATTCTGCCTGCAGGGTGTGAATGGCAATGTCTGGCGCAGGTTGTCTGGCGCAGGTTGATTCTTAGCGGTTTATAGGAAACAAACTTCCTTTATGATGAGAATTTCCAGTGAAAGTCTTGTTGAGCAATATGGAGCATTTACAGGGAATTGCAGAGTGGGGAGGGGGGTCCCCGGGTCCCGCCCCAGAGGGGCTCTTGAATTCTGGGTCTGATTGGCCATTTGCTCCCAGCTGGCTGGGAGTTGTCAGCTGGGTGGTGCCCCCAGGCTGCTCGCTCACCCCCTGGAGCTAGGCCAGGGTGCTCTTAGGACCCTGTGCAAATTCAGTTCGGGGTGAGACCCCTGGGGCAGCCCTCACGTCCCCTGAGCCCCTGGTGGGGTCCCCGTGCTTGCTGCCCTGGGGGATGTGTGCTTCCTTCTCTCTGACCTGCCCCTGCCCCACACCCCAAGTGCTAATCTGCCGAAATTCCTCCGTCCTCCCCGCTCTGTCTTCCCTTCTCTGCCTCAGTTCTCTCAAATACTTTCTCCTTTTCTCTTCCCTTCTCCACAAACTTTTTGCTCACTGTGGCATGATGATGCTGTTGTTTTAAGTAATTTAACTGGTTTACTTTAGGTTGTAAGTAACAGGACTCAACTAGGGGTAATTCAAGGGCAGAGGGAGGATGCTGGGGAGGGTTCTGGAAGCCCAGGCAGGGGTGGGGAGGGCTGGAGCAGGATGGGAAAGCACAGGGGCCTGCGTGCTAATAAAACTTTATTTACAAAGCCCGTCTGGGCCGGATTTGGCCCCTGGGCTGTAGTTTGAGACTCTAGAATAAAAGGACAGGACACCAGCGCGGTCATGACCTGTCTGTGTCCCAGGTGTGTGACTCAGGCTGGGTTTCCAGGGCTTGTCTCTCCTTGAACTAATGCCGGGTTTTTGTTTTTTTTTTTTAGCCTGGGTTTAATTGTGCCCCAAATAAGAAAGATGTGTTTCCTGAGCATAGTTAGATCTTTTTGAATTTTCTTAAATACTTTTAGCTCCTCAAAGCATTTCATGAACGCGTGCTCGTGGAAAGATGGTGAACGGTATAGAGAGAGGGCTCAGACTCGCCCACCGTTTCCACCCCTGGACCATCCCGAGGTCCTCTCCCACCGTTTACATCATTGCACGTCCTCGCACACGCACAGCTTTGTTTCTAGACACAGCGGGCTCTGGGCGTGTGTCTCTTCTCTGCTGCATGTCTCACCCAGCCTTTATCTCCGGATTCTTCCCGCCGTCACACGGAGGCCTGCCCACTCTCCTGCTCGCCGCTGCACCGCGTGCCCGAGTCTGATGGCTCCGTGTTCCTCTGTCCCTCCCCGATGGACAGACCCCGCGCCCTGGTCCCCAGGCCCCCTCTTCGCCCCAGAGTAGTTCCCGGAGGGCACCCTTGTCCAGGCCTCAGAGGGGACCTAAAGCAGCGTGTGTTCCTAAGCACGCAGGTGACTTTCACACACGCAGTGACCGAAGGCAGCCACGGGGTGCAGCTGAGGCCCCAGGACCCCAGCAGCCTGAGAACACAGAGGCCGGTTAATCTTTTCCTGCAGAACTCAGATCCGCCCCCACCCGGGTCTCCTGTTTTATAAGCAGCCCACCCACCCTCTCAGATGCCTCCCCAGACTGCGCTCATAGAACAAGGGTCCCTCTGCCTCGGCTTCTGTTTGGTCCCTTCACAAGTGGTTTCCTCCCCTGGAATATCATCCTCCAGAGGTGGAGGCCCCAGCGGGCCCCTTGCCAGGGTCACGGGGTCGAGGCAGCCCCAGCTCGCTCTGCTCCGCCAGACCCAGCCGTGCTCTTGGCTCTGGCTTCGTGGTCACGGAATGGAAAGCGTCTGCCAGTGTGGCGTGCTGTGTCTCTGTCCCTCTCTGTCTCTGTCTCTATCTGTCTGTCTCTCTCCTTCTCTCTCTGTCTCTCTCTCACTCTCTGTCTCTGTCTCTTTCTGTCCCTCTCTCTTTGTGGGTGTCTCTCTCTGTCTCTCTCTCTGTCTCTGTCTCTTTCTCTCTCTCTCTGTGTCTGTCTCTCACTCTGGCTCTCTGTTTCTACCTCTGTCTCTCTCTGTCTTTCTGTCTCTTTCTCTGTCTCTGTGTCTGTCTCTATCTGTCTTTCTCTGTCTCTATCTCTGTCTCTGTGTCTCTCTCTGTCTCTCTCTGTCTCTGTGTCTCTGTATGTCTCGCGCTCTCTCTCACTTGCTTCCTTTTTTTGCTATGTAACACATTTATTGAGATATAATTCACAAACCTTACAATTTACCATCTAAAATCTACAATTCAGTGGTTTTTAGTCTGTTCACAGTTGTGCTCCCATCACCACCATCAGTACTAGGACATTTCATCGCCCCAAACAGAGACCCATTAGATCACTCCCCGTTGCCCTCCAGCCCCCCAGGCCTGGGCAACCACTCGTCTACTTTCTGTCTCCTTGGATTTCCAGCTTTCCTCTTCAACCTGCTCTTGCACCAGGTCCTGTAACCTGTGTCGTGTGCCCTCGCCAAGTCCCCTGCCTTTCCCCAGCACAGCGGGTCCTCTCTGGTCCAGGGTGGGGCCGCTAGTCTGTCGTTTTAAGCAGCTCCCTGGGTGGAAGCCCCTGGTTGGCCCCTGCCTTTACTCCTTCATTCAGCAGTTACGTAGTGACTGTCGAGCCTGGGGCACCCTGCCTGCTGTCTTTACAGTGGACTCCGTGGGTAAAGATGGGACAGCCCGGATGGGCCCAGTGTCGGGGGTTTGGCTGCCGTGCTGGGGGCCATCGGCACGGGGTCCCCGGAGAAGGTGTCCGGCCCTGTGTCAGCTGCCCAGCTGCAGGATGCACGAACACCAGCGTGCACTTGATCGTCTAGATGCTCTTGGAAAAACATCATTTACTCGTTCTAAACAGTCCAGCTGCGTTTATTAGGCAAAGTATTCTTAGAACCAGTGCCTCCACATCAATATGTCACCACCTGTCGTTTTATTTGTAGGAATTTATCCCACCCTCAAGGGTTGGCAGGAAGTTCTCTGTCGGCCCCCATGAGCAAATAGCAGATGCTAAATCAATGGGCAGGAATAGATTTATTTTCATTGTAAAAATGCACAAAAATGAATGTTGCCTGCCTTTTAAAAACATTAAAAAATGTAAGTATAGAAAAGAAGAAGAAGGAAAGATTCCTGCTGTTCACTCCCTAATCCTTTTTTCTTCCTGGGAAGGTAAATTCTGTGAAGTGGTACATGTCCTTCCAGACTTATTTTTTGCTTTTCTATGATATAGACTCTAAGGTGTTAAAACACAAATGAAATGAAGCTAGATTATTGTTCTGTGACTTGAGTTTTCTACTTAGAAGTTCTTGGATATATAGCTCATCACTTTTTATCGATCCACCTTGTTTTTTTCTACAACTGCCTAGGTGAAGAATGTTCTAGAACGATTCCCACTTTCTCTTGTTTTAGAATATTTATTCCATCTCTAGGTTTTCTCTTCTTTTTGTATTTTACTTATGATATTTCACTTATTATATATTTTATACACATGTGCAAGACTTTCTGTAGAATACACTCTTAAAAAGTGGAATCATTTGGCTGTGGAGTGTGTGTATTTTAAATTTTTATAGATTCTGCCAAGTTGCTGTCCAAAGCGTTTGCAGCAGTTAAGCTTCAACTGATAGCATACAGGGGCCCGTCTACCCTCATCCTTGCCCCGCTGATGAAGGAGAAACGCCCTCCCTTTTAACTTTGCGTTTACATTTCTCTGAATTCCTGTGAGCCTCAGCCTCTGAGCGTGTTTCTTTGGAGACCGTCTATGCCACCGTTTTACAAAGAGATTTCTTGTTTTCAATTTGTAGGACAGCTGTGCACGAGTGCTGCTCTTTCGAGGCGGAAACAAGGAATTGAAAAACTACAACAGCCAGACTCCGTTTCAGGTAAAAAGAATTCTCAAAAACAGGGAACGCCTGAGTGTGTGTTATTGTGAGAGGGGACGTTGGGTTTCTGAACGTCCTTTCTGTGTGTGTGACATGAGGTCGACCCATTTCATTGGGGATGGTGTCTGTGTTTGGAGGCTCCCTTAGGGAGGCATCCCTAAGTGTTGGAGCTGTGGATGGATTTCAGTTCATCTGTTCACCACTGGCTTCCTTCCTATTAGACCAAACAGCATGAATAATGCTCGATTCATCTCTGTGGGTTATTCATTCAAGAAGGCAGCTTTGCAAAGGCTATGAAGACATGGGTGCTGTTAATTGTGCTGCTGTTGGAAAATGCTGGCTTCGCTGCCCGTCCTTTGAATGGGAGGAGCTCTCTGAGAATCTCATGGAGAAGTGACTTGTCATCCATCTGCCACCCCTCCTGGGTCTGCTCTCCCAGAGTGCAGGACAAAGAACCTCGACCGGGTGTTGGCCAGAGCGTTCCACAGTGACACGCACGAGCCAGGGTCCTAATTGTTTTTTTAGTTTAATTAGTTTTAGTTAGTTTGTGTTAAAATACTTATAGCACAAAATGTACTTATTTTAACCATTTCAGAGTATACGATTCAGGGGCGTGAAGTACATTCATGATGTTGTGCAACCATCACCACTGTGTGGTTAAGAACTTTTTCATCACCCCAGAGAAAACCCCACACCCATTAAGCAATCACTCCCCCTTTCTCCCTCCAGCCCCTAGACAACCACTAATCTGCTTCCTGTGTCAATGGATTTGCCGATTCTGGACATTTCATGGAAATGGCCTCACATAACAGGTGGTCTTTTGTGTCTGGCTTCTTTCATTTAGCATCACGATGTCAAGGGTCGTCTGTGTTGTAGTGTGTGTCAGCACTTCCTTCCTTTTCCTGGCTGAGTAATAGCCCATTGTATAAATATGGGGCTCCTCTAACTTTGATGCAGCTGTCCAAATGGTGTAGGGTGAAAAAAAATTTTTTTAGCTAAGTGCTCTAAGTTATAGAAATACTTTTTGATCCTAAACACATTCAGATATCTGCACTTGGACTGAAAATTGAAATGTGATTCTTATTTGGAAGTAATTTTTACATTTTATTGAGGTGAGAGAGGTCTTTAGTGTAAAACTGGCTTCCATGGATGATTTGACTAATATGCTTCGTAGGTATACTATATATCCGGGCTTGACATCTTGAAAATGACCCAGTTCAATCCAAAAACTGGGCTGGATGTTAACTAACCACCATTAAAAAGTTTACTTGGTTCTCTAATAGTGGCCGGCCTGGATGTCAGTCTTGAATCTTGCAGTGTGCAGATGTGTAACGGAAAATGGGTCATAGAAGCGAGTCCCTGGCTTGCTAATGGGTCTATAAAGATTACAGTTACTGTCCAAGAACATGTCCTCTTTCCAGTGGCTTGTAACTGCCACCTGGTACTCGAGGGAAGTGAGTCCTGCATGGCGTCCAGGACAAAAGGTCACTGTAGCGGCCTCCCCGTCAGTCCCCGCCCCTGTCCCCTCACCACTGGCAGTGATCACCTGGATTGGGACCTGGGACGGGGCCACCCCTCTTACAGGGAGTCCTGGCAGGAGGCTCAGGACACCCTCCCGGCAGTGGACGCACACCAGCACCAGCCCAAGGCCATCTGTCTCTATTTTACTAACGATAATCAATCAAGTGCCACAAATGGTTCTGGGAGACATTATGCAAAACACACTTGAATAATAGGACTCCGTGCCCTGCAAACATTGCTTGCATAACCAATGGAAATCACAGCCTGGGTTGCTTGCTCTGCACGCCTGGAACGGGCTCTGACTGTGCGCCGGGAGCAGTGTCCCCCCTCGTACCTCCCCACCTCATCGTGTTGTAATGATACAAGGAGACTTCATTCAAGCTGTGGATCCTTGCCTGTAAGATGTCCCCAGCTTTCATTTTTCCCTTCACAGTTCCTCGCTCCCAGTTGTGAAAAATGAATCCCTTCCCGTGGAGTTTGTGGGGGAATGATGTCCTACTGCATCATTTCACAGGGATCGGATGTGTTCACCTGGAAAATGTTAATGATCTCAGCTGCCTTTGTGAGTGCCGGCTTTTCTAAGAAATCTTGGAATGTTTGGTGGAGTTCATCTGGCCAAGTTTTTGCTTGATGATTTACTCCAAATGCTGGGCTAGCTGCATTAGCAAAACTTAGGAACTTGAGAGAAATGCAGACTCGCAGGCTCCCACCATCCCACTGAATCAGAGCTCTGGGGGCAGGGCCTGGTGCTCCATGTAGTTGACGCGAATAATCCATAACCAATCTATAAATCAAAATTGGGGTGAGTTTATTATGAGCCAACCCTGAGGACCATGTAGCCCAAGAGAGTCCTTTCACAAAGGAAAGGAGCACTCCAAAGAAGTGGGGTGTACAGAGTGGTTATATACCATCAAGAGCATGTACCACATGTGATTGAAATGTCCGTTTTACAGTAGTCACGAGATTGCTTTGCCGGCACAGCAATTCGGTGAACACAACAGGTCAGTGGTCACAAGGTGGGTGGTCACAAGGTGAGCACAGCAGGTCAGCAATCAAGCCCTAGTTTAGGGAGAGATGCTTATCCTTAAAGAAATGCCGATGTGGGGGAAGCTGCATCCCTATCTTTAAGGGCGTCATTCTCATCTTCGGGACATAGTAAATATTTAAAACAGACGTATAATGCATGCTCAACAGGCCACATCAGGCCCTTTTGGAGAAACAAGGTCAGGCCGAGTTAGTTTTAACCCAAATGGCTTCCTCATGTGCTCCAGTATATCCTATTGCTTGTCGTTTATTTATCAATAAGCCCTTGAAAGTTTCTGATGCCTGCTGAGGGGTGAGAATCGAAAGGGAGACAGAGGTGATTTTTTTAGGAGGAGGAGGAGAAGCACTTAAAACATTACTCTGAGGGGCCGGCCCCGTGGCGTAGCGGTTAAGTGTGCGTGCTCCACTGCTGGCAGCCCGGGTTCGGATCCCGGGCGTGCACCAAACCACCGCTTGTCAGGCCATGCTGTGGCAGCGTCCCATATAAAATAGAGGAAGATGGGCACGGATGTTAGCCCAGGGTCAGTCTTCCTCAGCAAAAAGAGGAGGATTGGCATGGATGTGAGCTCAGGGCTGATCTTCCTCAGAAAAAAAAAAAATTACTCGAGTGCATCTTAAATAGTGACGATGGTGGTGGTGATTGTATTAGTCTGCTCGGGTGCCATAGCAGAATACTGCAGACGGGGTGCCTTAAACAGCATTTATTTCTCACAGTTCTGGAGGCTCCGAGTCCAAGATCAAGGTGCTGGCAAATTCAGTTTCTGGTGAAGGCTGTCTTCCTGGCTTCCCATCCAGAGATGGCCACCTACTCTCGGCCCTTCCTCTGTGCGTATGTGCAGAGAGAGAGAGCGCGCTTTCGATGTTTCTTCCTTTTCTTGTAGGAACAATTCTGATTAAGTCTCCACCCTATGACCTCATTTAACCTTAATTACCTCCCTGAAGACTCCATCTCCAAATAGCATCACATTGGGGGTTAGAGCTTCAACATGTGAATTCTGGGGGGGAGACACAATTCAGTCTGTAACAGTGATGATGGTGGTGGTGATGACGGTGATAATGATGTTGGTGGTGACAGTGATGATGATAATGATGGTGATGATGGTGGTGGTGATGATGGTGGTGGTGATGATGGTGATGATGATGATGATGATGATGGAGAAGGTGATGATGATGAGGGAGGTGATGATGATGGAGGTGATGATGATGATGGAGGTGATGATGATGGAGGAGGTGATGATGATGATGGAGCTGGTGGTGGTGGTGCTGATGGAGGTGATGATGGTGATGGTGCTGGTGAGGATGATGGTGATGAAGGTGGTGGTGGTGGTGCTGATGGTGGCCATGATGGTCATGGTGGTGGTGATGATGATGGCGATGATGATGATTAGAGTATTGATGATGATGGTGGCCATGATGGTCATGGTGGTGGTGATGATCATGGCGATAATGATGATTAGGGTATTGATGATGATAGTGATCATGATGAATCTTTCCAGTTCCACAGAATTCTAAAGCTCACAAATGCTTTTCTATACATTCTCCTTTAATGTAGAAAACCCAATGAGGTAGGCATTTGTACCCCCAATTTATAGGAGAAATGGAATTATGGAGAGATGGATGCCTAGGAGTCCGAAATCAGTGGCTGAGTCTGTGGTCTCCAGCCCTTCTGACTTCCAGTCCAAGGCTCTGGGGTCTGGAGTGAGGAAGACACTTCCTCTGGCTTGTGACTTATCTTGCCTCCTGGCATGGAGTGAACAACATCAAAAATCCTTTGCTCTTTGGAGTGCTCGGTCCACGGGAGCAAACACATCCTGATTCTGAAGATAAAGAGAAGCAGAATGGAGAGAAGTCCAAAGAACTGGAAGGTCAAAGCAAGGCAGGGAGGTGGAAATGGCAGCTGATGGCTAGTTTGCTGTGTCAGCCTGGCTGGGAGCTGGTGCCCAGCTCTCTAATCACATACTAATGCAGGTGTGGTGTGAAGGTGTTTCACAGAGTGACTAACTCTACAGTCAGTGGATTTTCAGTAAAAAGATGAACGCTCCATAGTGTGGGTGGGTCTTGTCTAATCAGTTGGAGGCCTTAGGAGCACAAACTGAGGTTTCCTGGAGAAGAAGGAATTTGGCTTCAAGACTAACATAGAAGCCCTGCCTGTGTCTCCAGCCTGCCAGCCCACCCCACAGATTTCAGACTTAGAACCCCCACAATAGCATGAGCCAGTTCCTTAAAATAATCAGTTAATATGTGTGTATGCGTACACGCACACACACACGTCCCATTGGTCTGTCTCCCTGGAGAGCTCTGGCTGATACGGGAGAATTGATTTGAGTCCGTCCTGCCTCCCAGCAGCTCCACTCTGAAAGGGGTGTCCCTGGTTCTCGGAGGTAGTGAGGCGGCTTTCTCCCCACACGTGTCACCGTGCTATCCATCTCCACATT